AAAGTGGCCCAAAATGCTGTAGAGGAAATGGGTGCCCTTGAATTCAGAATAGCTCTGGTTGGTTATAAGTCAGATGTCTGCTAAGGAGATAGATAGAGATAAAGGTCTAATTTCCCCCAGCATCCTTCATGGAGAGACTAGCCAAGAACCCAGAAACAGGCATGGAAGGCACAGGAGCCTAGAACTGCTGTGGGAGGTACCCGTATCATTTCTGTTCCGGTTTCCTCACTTACAATGCTCACTTTTACCAGATACAAAGGCGCACACATCCCAGCAAGCAAATCTGTGAAATGTCTTAATGGCTCTTAGGAATGTTCCTCAGAATGTGATACTGTTGTATTCAAGCACCAAGAGTCTGTTTTCATTGCCTTGCTCAGGGAATGATGTCCATATAACTTACCCACCTCTAACCACCCAAAACCAGACAGCCCTTCTGACATCTTGGGGCATTGGGGTGGCAGGGTGGTAGAACCCAGAGGGAAGAGCTTTTCCAATTAGACTCAAGTACTTCAAATGACCTTGTTTCCTAAGAGGCTTTGGTAGCGTTCCAAGAAGTAACTGTGCCGAAGGTTACGCTTCATTTGTGGTTAGAAGACATTCCTCACCATTTGCTCCCCGGTTGCATCACGCAGCAGTCCCTGTGACTGATGCTCGCCTACATTTTTCTTAAGGTGAAAAGATGCACAAAACCTCCATTGGCTATTGAATTTGTCTCCTAGGAGAGAAGGAAACTGCTCGCTGTGTTTTAATTATAGCTCTTCACACTCTCCTGGCCTAATTAAGGTTTGCTTTACTCCAAGGAAGGAGACAGCGCATATGGCGTTACAGTGGTACTGCCTGTATCTTGGTTACTTAGGGAAAGCCACATAAGTAATCCTCTCTTTGTTGTCCTTGGACCAGCTAGTGGTACAGGGAATGTGAAGATAGAGGCGAGCTGTTTGTTGTGGCCTGCACAACACTTGGGAACAAACAGTCCCTGAGCTGATTCTCAGAAGCTCAAGGTAGATAGATGGCAGTCCTTTCTCTCAGTGCCTCACTCTGTCCGTCCTCTTGGGCCTCTTGCTCCTCCGAGTCTGTTGACATACAACATCGTGGCCATCTCAATGGAGAGAATGCTGAAGTGCAGATGGCCTCCCCAAGGACCTGGAGAGGTGAAGGAGGGGTAGGTCACACCAAGCATGGCCAACACATGAGTAGCTTCTGCTGTGTGTAGCTGGCTGATGCTAACAGAGCTTACCCACCCTTGAATTCTTTATCCTCCAAAGGTGTTTTACATAGAGACTCCCCTGTTGTCGAAGGCCATAGGAAAGGGCAAGTAGGATTTTGAGTTATGTTGCCTATAGAAGGAAGTTTCACCTGGATTCCTTTAGAAACAAAAAATGAAAATGAGGCACATGCCTGGAGGGGCCTGCTGCTCAATAAGAGCCTTCCATGCTAAGCAGCACCTTCGGAATTACAGGGGGTAGTCATTTACCCTCTTCCCTACAGAGCAACCCCACCCCTGCGCAAGGAGAAAGGATTGCAGTCCCCAGTACCTGAATAAGTAAGTGTCTTACTCATGGTCATCCAACCCAGGATACCAAGGTAGTAACTGGGGAAAACAGTGATGGTAGGGTCTACAATGTGACTTTTTGTTGTTTTGGGTTTTGGGTCTTTTGGAGGTTTGGTTTTTTTGTTTCTTGTTTTTTTTTTTTTCTTTTGAAAAAGTCTCACTATTTACCTTTGTTGCCATGGAACTTATATAGACCAGGCTGGCCACAAACACAGAGAGACCTGCCTGCCTCTGTCTGCCAAGGGAGATTAAAAGTAAATGCCATAGCCTTGCGGTGGTGGCGCACGCCTTTAATCCCAGCACTCGGGAGGCAGAGGCAGGGGAGGTCGAGACCAGCCTGGTCTACAAGAGCTAGTTCCAGGACAGGCTCCAAAGCCACAGAGAAACCCTGTCTCAAAAAAATGAAAAAAAAAAAAAAAAGTATATGCCACCACACCCACATAAATGTGACACTTGTAAACATTTCAAGAGATATAGCAAGTGAAAATAATCATTTTAGCAATTTTTTAAAATTAAATTATAAACAGTCTTGTTTTACATGTTAATCCCAGTTCCCTCTCTCTCCCCTCCTCCCCTGCCCCCCACGGATCCCCTCTCTCATCCCCCTTTTGCTCCCCAGGGAGGGTGGTGCCTTCCATGGGGGATCTTCGAAGTCTGTCATATCATTTGGAGCAGGACCTAGACCCTCCCCTGTGTGTCTAGGCTGAGAGAGTATCCTTCTATGTGCAGTGGGCTCCCAAAGTCCATTCCTATACTAGAGATAAGTACTGATGCACTACCAGAGGCACATACCATAGATTGCCTGACACCCATGTTCAGGAGTCTGGGTCGGTCTTACGCTGATTTCCCAGCTATCAGTCTGGGGTCCATGAGCTCCCTGTTAGCATTTTTTTTTTTTTTTTTACGAATTTATCCTCATGGGAACTTCACTGCATTATCTGTGACATTTTGACAAGCAGCATTTCTTTTTTGTATCTCAGAAGATACTTAGAACTTCTGTCATAGTACAGTCATCAACAGTATACTCTGAAAGCATGGCCCTCTCTCCAGTTAGGACACCACGCCTACCTCCTCACCCTGCTTTCTGGTCCTCTTTTCACTGGTTTTGTATCTTGACTCTTCAGAGTTCTAATAGGTCTGTGAGTGACAGACTTAATCTGGCCTTGAAAGAGGACATAAGACCAAAAAAGTACACATGCGTAGGATGTTACCTCATGGTTTAGAAAAAAGTAGTATTGTGCGTGCTCCGTTGTGAAGTCTAGCATAGAAATAATTAAAAACTTAGACAGAAAACCACTAGAGATAGTTTAGTCCAATCTCACTTTGGCAGTGAAAACTACAGTCCTCCATGTCAAATCTTCCCAACAGCACTGTTCATCTGATAGCAGTCCAGGTCCTTGCACTGTTCTTTGGCCATGAAAACTGTGTAAACTCTGAGTGTTTTCATGTGGAGAGAGGAACAAAACAAGGAAAACAGCAGAAGGGAAGTTGAAAGAAACATGAGATGTTAAACTCGGCATCCATGTGAGTGTACCAGGCCTGGCATTTATTTCTCACATTAAATTGGATGAAAATGTGCCAGTGTGTTTTGCAATCATTATCCAAACATGCTGCTCACTGTAGGGCATCTGTACTGTTCACCAGGCCCAGCAGTTGTCTCAAGGGCAGTGGGACTTGAGCCCCCTGGATCCTGGCTCTCAGTCGTCATATCCCCCCCTCCCCCGCTCTTACTGAGGTCAGTGGCAGGAGACCGCCAGGTTACAGTTTGAGCTGCACACTGAATTCTCTTGAGAACTTTACAAGAGGCCCCTTGAAGTTTCGTTTCATGGTCATGGTGAGGCCAGGCATTAGTAATTCTTTAAAAGCTCCCAGGGTGATCATGCTGTGCAGCTACAATAGGACTCACAGTTGTTTTCCAAATTTTATCTGATCAGAATCATTTGTTAAAACACTGGTCAGCAGGTAACATCACAGCTCTCAAGAAAGAGGTGGAGGCAGGAGGATCAGAGCTTCAACCTTGGCCACCTGAGACCCTGCCTCTCTTCTCACACACTGGGACACCCACATTGGACCCCCTGCTCCTAAATTTTTAGAGTCATGGTATCTAGGGTGGGGCCTAAGACTGTTACAAGTTCCTGAGTGGTGTCAGCTCTGCTGGTTGGGGACAATACTTTGAAGCAACATCATTGGATTCTCAGGAATCTGTGATCCAGGTCCCTGAGTGGCAGCCTTGGTGATGTAGGGTTTTAGATTCTGAAGGTGGGAGGTAGTTCAAGAATGCATTTCTCAGGGGACCTGGGTGCCATTGGTGTTGCTGGATGGGGTACACACTTTGATAACTGGTTACTGGGGCCTTATGTGTGTTTCACGCTTGGATGAGATGAGGCTTAAGCATTCCGTCTCAGCACCTGGCATTCCGTGGTCACCAGGAACACTTAAGATTGTTCTAGACTGTAGAAAAAAAGGAAACAAAGTTGAAACTGCAGTTTTCATAGACAAATTGTATCTTGTGGGTGTTAGGAACATGGCAGATGGGCAGTATGGAAATGGAGCAATTAAACCTTCTGTCCTGACCATTAGAGTGGGTCTGTTTGTTTTTGTTTTTGTTTTTTGAGACAGGGTTTCTCTGTGTTGTTTTAGAGGCTGTCTTGGAACTCGCTCTGTTGACCAGGCTAGCCTCAAACTCTGTCTCCCGAGTGCTGGGACTAAAGGCTTGTGTCACCAACACCCGGCTCTAGAGTGCTCTAGGGTCTTAAGGTCTACTTATAGACTACTTCATCTCACTATGTGCTGATGAGGAAACAGGCCCTGTAAGGGAGCCAGTGAAAACTACAGGACTAACAATAGCTTGCACCCCAGTTCTGGGGTCCTTCTGTGACACCACAATGTCTGCAGGTAGCTAATCTGTGAGTCTAGAGGATGACACAACAACAGGAAATGGCAAGGAATAAGGAAGACATACTACATTGCTCCTAGTGTTTGAAGTGTGGTTCCAGTCCAGCAGTCTTGGTACTGGCAATGTAGGCACCTGTTAGAACTACAAATTCTTGTGCCCCCATTCCCTGGATAATCCACGACTAGCACACTCACATCTGAGTGAACTCAGGTTTGAGGAGCCCAGGCTTAGGGAGAGTGGCATAAGGAGACAGAATGACATCTCAGAGTTGGACTGGTCTGGGCATGCTGAGGCACCAGGTAGACAGAGTTTGTGAAGGCAGCAGTCTGTGAGTGACTTCAAATTCCTACTTCAGCTTCCAGTGTGCTGACCCTGTGTGAATGAAGGTGCAGTGTTAGACTTCTCTGTCTTCTTCACAGTTCCCTGTGACTGTTTTACTTTCAGCAAGCTTGCCTCAGTACAGCCCCAATTAACTTTTCACATTCTCTAGACGAATAAAGTTGAACAGTGTTCTGATGTAGTAACTATTTTTTTTTTTCTCCTCTTTTTTAGTTGGTGACAGGTGTGTGGGAAGGCAAATACAACTTCTTCTGTCAGGGAACACGCAGTGCAGGAGAATCAGACATGAAGGTACTGTTTCAGGGATGGGTGTGGGTGGGTGTGTCTGTGTGTGTTTGGTTTTTCGATAGAGATCTTGCACAATAAAGGCAAAAAAGACCGTATCCTCTCAATCCTGATAATTCCTGTTGACATTTTGAAAAGAGTAAGAAAGAAGTGCTGGGTGTGTGGTATGAAAATCTGATATGAAAATCTGAACATGAAAGGCATAAATGGAATGAAAACTTAAGCCTCCCTCTCTAAGGAAGAAACTCCTGTGAGCAGTTGACAGGTTTCATATTTACATAAAAGAGATCATTTGAATTTAAAATCACTCTTGTAAGTGCCCTCTGAGTAGTTACATTAAAGGTAAACTCCATCTTCCACCCTGAAAATTGGAGTGTAACAGAAAGCTTACAGTCAAAGCTCAGTGTGGCCAGCGTTTCCTTTGGACATATCGATTGGACCAGGAACAGGTATTGCACATTTTGGTCGTGTTTTTTGCATGATTCATACTACCTCACTCCAGTCTCTCAAGCCCAGAGCGTCCTTTTCTCTCCTAGGAGCTCTGTAGACTACTTCATAGAAATGTTGTTGAGGCTGGAGCTTCCCAGGGCTTTTGTTTTGATTTAGTTTTGCTTTGAGACAGGGTCTTTTGTGGCCTCAAAATGGTATGTAGCTAAAGATGATCCTGAACTCTCAATCCTCTGGGTCCTACCTCCAAGTCCTGGGATTGCAGGTGTGCACCTTCGTGTTCTTGTTAAGAGTGTGTGAGAGTGTCAGGAGCCCTTTGAAGACATTTCCTGCCGTCCTTTCAGTCCCCCTAATGTAACATGCTCATCGAGTAAAGGCGCTCACAGTGGCGGAGCTCAGACATTGGAAGGCACCAGGAGCCAGTGGGGCTCTCCAGCTTTATTTTTGTGTTGAGTGTACATGTGTACACAACATGTCACAAGTGACATTCCAGAAAATCACTGGAGGTAAACCATAAACCCTTTGCTTTTTTAGATCATTCGTGTCCTCTGGTGGTACTACTTCTCCAAACTCATAGAATTCATGGACACCTTCTTCTTCATCCTTCGCAAGAACAACCACCAGATCACAGTCCTACATGTCTACCACCACGCCTCCATGTTGAACATCTGGTGGTTTGTGATGAACTGGGTTCCCTGTGGCCACTGTAAGTAGCAGAGTTTTTGGGAGCATGTGACGGAAACAGAATGGAAACTTGGGCACACAGGAAAGATGTTGTCTCTAAATTTCTAAGTTAAGCTTTTGAATTTGTATTCAGGTTTTTTCTTTTTCTATTTATTATTTATTATCATTATTATTCTAGTTAGCATACACTGTAAAGGGTTTCATTGTGACATTTTCATGTCATTGTACTTTTTTCTCATTAGTCCTTCCCACTACCGTCTCAGGTTCCCTTTACCCCCCTTTGGTCTCCTCCTTTCATGTAATGTATATTAGACAAAGTAATCCAAAGCAGAAAGAGCAATACTAAAGTTATCACAATGCCCAATCCCAAATTATACCACAGAGCCATTTAGTAACCAAAACAGTATAGTACCAGCCCAAAAGGGGGCATGTAGACTAAAGGAGTGGAATAGAAGACCAGAAATCACACAGCTACCACCTAACCTTTGACAGGTGTCAGCCGAAACAGTCATTGCTTAAAAAAACAAACCCACAACTCCACAAATTAATTAGCGAATGGATTATTCATTATTGAATTCAATACACAGTTTACTAAAGGAAACACAAATGGCCAATAAATACTTTTAACAAGTGTTCAGCATTCTTTAGCTATTAGGAAAACACAAAACTGCTTTGAGATCCCATCTCACTCCAATCAGAATGGTTATTGTCAAGAAAACAAACCACTGGGGGGTGTGGCTCAGTGACAGCATTGACATTGTGTGTCATTGAGGTCCTAGGTTCAGGATGGAGGATGTGGACAAAGAGGAGCTGTTACTACTACTTGTGGTGGTACCGTATATACTCTTGGAGTTGGTGTGGAAATCAGTATGGAGGTTCCTCTGAAACTGAAACTAAAATTACCATATGACTCTGCTATACTGCTCTTGGGTAAATAGCCAGTCCTAAATTGGTCAGAGGCTTTAAAGTAAAATGGGAAGTTCCTAACCTGTCTGAGGAAAACAAGACAAAGAAATAGGCAAGGACTTTGTGAAGAGGACCTGGGGTTGCTAATGAGTTCATGTGGCCTAAGGGCACAGAACCTTTCTCTAGCAGTCAGTGTCCATGAAGGAAATACCAGCCTGGGGCACATTAAGGACAGATAAGGCACATAGGCAGACAGATAAGTTGACTCAGCAGGTAAAGGTGTTTGCTACCAGGCCAGAGGACCTGTGTCCAATCCCTAGAACCCTGTATGGTGGAAGGAGAGAACCAGCTCCCACAATCCTTGTTGTGTCTAGTGTGTAAGGTGTGTGCCTGCCGAGTGATGGAATCGATCTAGTGTGGTAGGTGTGTGTCAGGGAGCAAGGCGTTCTTGGCTACACCACACATTATGAAACCTCCATATACTCTCTTTACTGAGCGGGGCTCCCAGGGAGGTTTCCGTAACATGAACTAAAGTTTGCTGGCTCTTTAAGGTTGAGTATGGTACTGTCATTTGCATCTTCAGGTTCCACCTAGGATATCTCAGTCACATGGATTTTGTTGTTTGTTGTTGTTGTATTGTTTGTTGTTGTTGTTGTTGTTTGTTTTGTTTTGTTTTTTGCATCCTGACATTGAGGAATTTGACTGAGAATCTTTGGATCTGCTCATGGCTTCCCCCAAGCCCTCAACATAATTGCTGATTAACTGCCCATAAAGATTCACAGCTCCAGCTGGGCATTGTGGTGCATGCCTTTAATCCCAGCACTCGGGAGGCAGAGGCAGGCGGGTCTCTGTGAGTTTGAGGCCATCCTGGTCTCCAGAGCCAGTGCCAGGATAGGCTCCAAAGCTACACAGAAAAACCCTGTCTCAAAAAAAAAAAAAACAAACAAAAAAAGATTCACAGCTCCATCAGGTTTATATGTAGACAAGATTTTTCTAAGTGTAGTGCCTTTGGGCTTAGAAGAGAAGTGAGACGCTAGGAGGATGGGTGGAGCTCAAACACTCTTGAACTAGTGGTTATCACCGGTGGATAAGCTAGCCCGAGTTCTAGTAGGGACAGCCTTCCACTTAATTACATTTCAAGAGCATTTTACATTTCAAGATATCTCATAAGACAACTAGTCCCGCCTGGCCCGTGGAAAACTAGAGAATGTATGTGAACTGTGCAAGACTACAGGACCAGTTTCTGTCATAGCCAGTAGAAACTCCTGACATAACCTGGAGTGTTTGCAAGGGAGTGGAGGCAGGGAGCTTTCCTTCATTACTCACTGTCGAGGATGGAAGTATTTTAAAAAACTGAAATTGAAAGCCATGTGATGAAGTGGACCTTCTGTCTCAAAGGAACTGACCCTAGATTCTGTTGTTAATAAAAAAAAAAACTAACTGTAGTCCTGGGGAGTAGTCGTAACTTCAGTCTCCTCCAGACATCAGCAAAGGGATGGAAACAGCCTTCCTCAGGCATGCTGTTCGTCAGTGACCCTTGTCTAGTCTTCAGAACAGCACATCTTAGGCATCTGGGAGGAGGTGTCCACCTCCCAGTCTGCCACCACACCCACAGGTGCCAGGTCTGGGGCACGAGTAGACATGGGAGGTTCAGTTGACCGCTGGGATTAAGGTGTCGGTGGCTGCCTGCCCCGCCCACCCAAGTGGAAACTGACTTTTCATTACAGGTCTGTGTAGTACATATTGCTACAGTGTTTGTTGTCCTCTGTTCAGAGGACTTTTCTCTAGCTCCAAAAGTGTCTTGGATTTCCCCTGCCTGTTATTTACAAAACTCTAATGCATCCTCCCCCCAACCCCCTTTGCTCTGCAGCTTATTTTGGTGCGACACTCAACAGCTTCATCCACGTCCTCATGTACTCGTATTATGGTCTATCCTCTGTCCCTTCCATGCGTCCCTACCTCTGGTGGAAAAAGTACATCACTCAGGGACAGCTGGTGAGTAACGCAGTCACTGTGCCCAGAACTTGCTCCCTGCTGGACACAGTCCTCTTCCAGGCCATACTGTTGTTTAATTGAATCCAGTTGATCCAGTTAAACTCGTCATAGGCAGGTCAGGGAATGCTCTTGTTTCTAGTAGATGGGAACCTGCTATGGACTGGGGTGCCTCAAGCCTTGCACTCCCCACTTCAGGTCAGTCTTAGTTCTGTGTGTGCTTTCTCATGTCCAAAATGGAGATGAAAACTGCTTATCTGTGTTCCTGGGAGTCTTCCAAGGTGTGGAGTCCAGAGCCTCTGTGGCTTATTAGACACTGAGCCTGTTGGCTGCAATGGGAGCAGGGTGACTACTAGGACCCCAAGTAGCAGAGCACCTCACACTGCTTCAGATGATGGCCCCTGGCAGAGGTCAGCCAGCAACTGTCTGGTGTTGATGGTTTTTCTCACCGTTCTTTCTTAAGCCTTGCCCAGTTGTCAGTATATTATAGGTAGGTGTGTGTTCCTTCCTCCTCGTGAAGTCTTCCTGAGCTAATTAGTAACATTACTGTTTCTCAACACTGGCTAGTTTGTTCCATATGTCAAGAACTCATGCTAAGTAAATGATTTTTTTCAAGAGTTGTTTCAAATGCTGTCTCCATTTTGTAGGTGAACACATTGAGGCAAGAAGCCAGTGCTGGCTACAAGGACAGGCACTAAGCCCTCCAGCCCAGGCTTGTCATGTACATTTATTCCAACTGAATCTAATTTAGATCCCCTGAATCAATCTTGATATTTTTTTTTCAAAATTTAAAAATAACATTGAGCTCCTTCTGTGTTTGGTGTTTCATTATCACTTCTGCCAGTGGCTCTGCAGTCCTTATTAATCTTTCTCTCACCTGTGAGGAAGGGTAATTGTTCTCTAGCATCGACTGATGCCAGAGGAGAAAGGATGCAGAGTTGCATTTGTGCCATAGTCAATGGCTCCAGCAGACAGAATGTGGAAGAACACTGTGGGGCGTTGGTGTCTGGCTGGCCTATGTGCCATCTGCCAAGTTAATGTCTTGTCTTGGAGGACTTGCCTGAAGGACCAGAGGAAGACATTGAGCTGGTGGAAGCTTCTGAGACGTCCCCAGGCTGGCCCCACCCCTTTTGTGCCTCTCAAAGATGCTTTAGTAGTCACATGCCTTTAACGCCTTTGCAGTGTCTCTCTACACAGGTGTACACTTTTTTCAAGGTCACTCATCAGAAGTCGTGTGTGGACCCAGCATTTTGGCCAAGAAGAATTTTAATGTTCATGACAGCTTTCACCACACCAAAGTAAACACAGATACTGAGTAGGAAGTGTATCAGTCAGATCATGCATCACAAATGACATTACAGGTCCCTTAAAACATATACCTCATTCCTCTCTCTTGTATCTCTCCGTGCTGAGTCCCAGAATTTAGGAGAAAGGTAGCGTCATGGCTTTGAGGAGAGAGGGAGAACTTAGAGAAGATGCATACAGAAGTTAGGATAAAATGTAGTATAGAAGGCTGGCCAACGCTGGTTCCGAAACTTGGGTGGGAGTCCCCCTGGTTGGACCCCCATTTGTGTATTGCCACTGCTCAGCTCTGGCCTTCCTTGCTTCCCTAGGTCCAGTTTGTGCTAACAATCATCCAGACGAGCTGCGGGGTCATCTGGCCATGCACCTTCCCCCTCGGGTGGTTGTATTTCCAGATTGGATACATGATCTCCCTGATTGCTCTCTTCACAAACTTCTACATTCAGGTAAAGCTCACCCTTCCCTGGTACCCGACCCTCAGCCTTTCACTCAGTAAGCAGGGCTGTGTGGAGCCACTGCGGGAGCTAGCCCTGTGCTCTGAAGGAGCCTTTGTAGGGATGGAAGGGCCACCAGCTTTGCTCCAGATACTGGACGTGGGCATCTTGGGACTCAGCGGGGAGATGCCATGTGTAGCAGGGTGCCTTATTCCTTCCCTCTGGCCTAGTGCAGAGAAATAAAGAGATGATTTTTCAATCAGAGGTCTCAGGCCCACTGCCCTGCTTGTCATAGCTAAGTGACAATTGAAACCTACCATTTTGTCCCAATTTTCCTACATGCCCACTGCTCAAGTTTGGGGTTTGAGGTTGGTCACATGATGCATAGAGGTTTGCGCTCACAGACTGCCTGTGGGGGTGCCCGACCACTTGGCATATACCCTGATGATTCTCCTGCTTTTGTGGCCAGTGTCATGTGGCTTCAGTCTCCACTGACCTAGACAGGAGATCAGGAGCAAGGACAGAGTTAATGGGTCCTGAGAAAAGGCCAGTGGTGTGGAACAGCTGCCTGGAGGCTCAGCCACTGCTTCTCTTCTGTGTCCCACGTACCTGTGCATTACTTGTTGACTCATGTTTTGTTGGGGCCTGACTATGGGATCTTTTTCCAATTGCTCCTAGCAGTGTGGTGCTTAGTACGTGAGGGCTGAGGTAGTAGCTGAGGCAATAAGAAAAATGTAAAGATAAGTGATGACTTGTGTTAGAGGAGCTACTATCCAGTGTGAGGTGCCAATTTAGTCATAGCCCATCGCTCTGTCATATAGATGCTGAAGAGGCAAGCAGAGTGAACATAAACTCTGTATCGTTATAAATGTTTCTGTTGTGGCCCAGGGGTCAGCGAATCTATGGGCTTAAAAAAAAAAAAAAAAAAAAAGAAGTGTGATTGAAATAGAAAATGGTTATTTGAGCACAAGGCAAACTGGCCTAGTTAGGTGCAGACTAGTACAGTTCTGGTTAGCGGGCACTCACCTGCCTTGTATATTTCAGACTTACAACAAGAAAGGAGCCTCTCGGAGGAAAGAGCACCTGAAGGGCCACCAGAACGGGTCCATGACTGCCATCAACGGGCACACCAACAACTTCGCTTCCCTGGAAAACAGTGTGAAGCCAAGGAAGCAGAGAAAGGATTGACACGGCAGAGCCGCACCCTCCAGACCACGGCGTGTGATTGTAAGCACAGTATGAGTTGTGCCCTGACGCTCGTAACAGCTGCTGTCACTAGTCTGGCCTACTGTAGTGTGATTTATGTAGGACCTTTTCATCAGTTCAAAACCCCTAGAATATGTATACAGATTATACAAGTAGGCATATACAATTTCTCACATTTCTGGGCTCTCATCGACCCCCGCGCTAGACTGTGGGAAGGGAATGTTATTGTAGTATATGACACTGCTGTTGCCTTATTAGTTATAACACGATAGGTGCTGAATTGTGGTTCACAATGTAAAACACTGTAATCCAAACTTTTTTTTTTAAAACTGTAGACCATGCATGTGATTGTAAATGTAAATTTGTACAATGTTGTTAACAGTAGAAAAACACACATGCCTTAAGACTTAAAAAAAAAAAAAAAAAAAAAGCAGGGCCCAAAGCTTATTAGTGTCATTAGGGTATGTTTCAACTTTGTATTCATTTGTAATAGCTCTGTTTAGAAAAATGAAATATGTGATTTATGAAACTAGCGTGCGATGTGTAAACTTCAAGTGACTTGGAGATGCGAACCCTGACGGCACCTTCAGTTTTATAAAGCTGGCTTTGAATAAGCCGGCTCAAATCTAGTGGAACAGTCAGTTTAACTTTTTAACAGATCTTATTTTTTTATTTTGAGTGCCACTATTAATGTGTTTAAAGAGGTGGGGAACGGGTCCAAAGCAGTCGTGAGACACTTGTGTTCTTGGTCCCCCAAAGTCTAGGGCGACTGTAGGGTGAGCAGGACACTTCCCACTTCTGAAGTGCTTAGTGTTTTTATACAGGAGACAAAAAGGCCATTCTACTTCCCATCGTTTGGAAAGAGGAGACTTACCTTTCAGGAAGGGTGACTAGATGTTTATCACGTGACAGTCGCATGGACCAGTGATGGAGAACTGGTTGCCTGGGTCCAAATCTTTTTATTGTTTTTTCTGTAGTGCTGTTTGACATATACTTCCCTTCAAAATGTGCCTAATTTAACAGAATTTACTGAGAGACCAGGAAGCACCTTAAGTATTTTGAAGAGGTAGCTAGAGCATGAAGGAACGGGGCATTTGGGGAGTGATTGCTTATTCAGTCTAAATCTTGGCAGCATCTGTAATTTTTTTCCCCCCGCTTAGCATCTAAAGATTGGTTTAAAGCGCTTGTTTAAAAGTAACAGACTGCTTTTCTTAAAATCGTGTCTTGTGCACCTGAGGCGTGGTGGTCATACAGATGAGGATTCTTTTATGTGTCATTTTTAAAGTGTTGGAAGTTTAGCCTTTGACTACCTTCTACATTGAAAAAAAATTGATTGAACCACTCATGACACATCTTAGATGATTGACAATGTATAAACTAATTGTGGGTTTGATATTTATGTAAATATCAGTTTGCCATGCTTTAATTTTGCACATTCATATTATAAGGAGCCAATTGGTCCTAATTAGTCTTGTGGGTTTTCTTTTTGGAAGGAATTGCAGCATCTGTTTACATTTATCTTATCAAATCTAGAATGTGTATATTTGTGTGTCTTCATCCTAGGTACCAGTTTGCAGGTGTCTTTATGTATTTCAGTACAAAAACTATAACATTCAGTAGTGTGCTGTCAAAGTGTGCTTAGCTCATCTGGATATACCCACACTGTTAAATAATGTCTAAACATTAATCATTAAAACATTTTTGATTATCATTGCTGCGTTTTCATTGTTTGATGTGCTGCTAGTTCTGAAAGACCGGAGGTGGTCAACTGTCACTTTATAGGTGGTTAGGGAGTGGACGTGAGTGATCCTGTATGGAAAGGGGTTGTATTAGTCAGGGTTCCCTAGAGGAACAGCACTTAGAGAACAAACTACATACATACATACATACATACATACATACATACATACATACATGTAATTGTGTAATTTTCATTTTCAGTATATACTGGAATCCCAAAGCAGTAGGATCTAAAGTCAGTGAAGGAATGATTTTTTAGCTAGAGTGAGAGCAAGCAGGCAAAGAAGAGGGAGCTTCCTTGTCCTTTAAATAGGCTGCCAGCAGAAGGTGTGGCCCAGATTAAAGATGATCTTTCCACCTCAGAGATCCAGACTTTTTAAGATTTATTTTATCCCTGCATGTGTATATGTGTGCCACGTGCACTATCAAGTCAGAAAGTATTGACTCTCCTGGAACTGGAGTTACAGATGGTTGTGAGCCACCGTGTGGGTGCTGGGAATTGAACTCAGGTCTTCTGCAAGTACAACCAGTGCTCTTAACCACTGAGCCATCTTTCCAGTCCCCAAATGATTTAATCCAAAAAACAAAACTCCTACTGGGTGGTGGTGGCGTCTGCCTTTAATCCCAGCACTCAGGAGGCAGAGGTAGGCAGATCTCTATGAGTTCAAGGCCAGCCTGATCTACAAAGTGAGTGCCAGGATAGGCAAAGCTACACAGAGAAACCATGTCCTGAAGAAAAAATATATATATATCCCTCGATAGTGTGCCCAGCCATTTGGGTTTTAGTTAATTCCAGATGTAGTCAAATGGACAACCAAGAATTGCCATTCCTGCCTGCTACCACTTCCCATGAGGAAGGACCTCATGGGACAAAGCACAGTGCCTCCCAACCTTAGCTCCTTGCTGCACCCCCAGCAGAGGTCCCAGCTCTGAACACACCCCTTGACTCCTTCCTGGCATTCCACCCTCTCTCTTCTACTGCTGGTTGAGCTGCTTCTCTTGTGCACATTTTTTTTTTTTTTTCCTGTGACGAGCAAGCTAGAGACCATTTCAGGTCACGTGGAAGCTTCTCAGTTGAACCTCTGTGGAGTGCAAACCAGCCACAGGCATGGAAGCGAGTGTGTGTGTGTGGCTGTTGTGACACTCCATGTTCAAAACAGAAGACCTGTGCCATGGATTGCTGAGTCTGCTGAGGAGTACTGTGTTCCCCCTTCATTCCTGCCCCTCCCAGCCTGCCCCAGGCTTTTATCTTCCATCCTTGTCTACAGTGAGGTGGATGAACTATGTGCCTCATTCTTTCACAATGAGACCGATGGCCTAGATGCCCCATTCTCCTGTTCCCTTCACACCACAGCCTGAAATGTAAGCTGGAGCTTTCCTATATGTAAATAAGACTTTGAAGTGTCACCTGAAAACTACGTCAGTAGATGGCTTGTTAAAAGATTACAAAGGGATTATTGGAGATTGGTTAATGGTATTAAAGAACCAAATCACTTAAAGTAAACCTAAGACACAGAAATTAAAGTAATAGAAAGCAAAATAACCTAGTATGTTTCCACAAAGGAGGCAGAGTCAGGAAGATGACAGCAAGCAAGGCCAGCCTCCCGGGCCAGCCAGGATTACATAGAAAACCCTCTCATCAAAAAAAAAAAAAAAAAAAAAAAAAAAAAAAAAAAAAAAAAAGAAGAAGAAGAAGAAGAAGAAAGAAAGAAAGAAAAGAAAAAGAAAGGAGAGAGGACAGATGAGAAAAAAAGAAATGAAAGCAGCACATCTCACTGAAAAGACCGGATTGTTAAGCCACAGCTAATGCTCCCTAGCCAGCAATGTCATGAACTGAACTCAGGGCTACCATCATCAGCCAGTGGTGACTGGTTTCTTGGTCATCTGCTGAACTGCTTATCAGAACATTTGGAAGATCAGCCCCGGTGCTTCCATAGGTTCCCCTTATTACGAATCTGACCTGCTAACCTTTGCCTCACTAAGACAGTGTTCAGTTCATCTCCTGGTGTTAGCTGTCAGTCTCTCTCCTCCAGTCTCTCCTCTTCTTTTTTCTGATTTCTCTTGCTGGGCAGACCGGAGCTTCTTCCCCAGCAGCCTTCCTACTCATAGAAGGTGGTGTTGCCTAATTGGAGAAGCCCAATTTGGGCTCTTAGCCTTAGCCTCTTAGCCTCTAAGACTCATCTTCTCTGAGCACCCCACTCATTTCTATCAAGTTCAAGCTGCTACTTTACTCTAGAGGCCTTGATTGGCTGCCCCAATACCCCGTCACAGAAGGATGACATTTCTTTTGTTGAAGCAGAGTTGAAAGCCTTACAAGTCAAAATGTTTAGTCTGCATTCCCAATTTTGCCAGATTTCCTTTTTTATTATTTTAAGTTTTCCCATATAAGCATATGTAACCCCTCATCCCCACACTCTCTCCTCTATGCCCTCTCCCTTTGGTCCCCTTTGTTTCCCTAGGCAGTGTCCATTTACCTTCGTATCATTCAGATACACACACACACACACACACACACACACACACCCCATACACAACATGCACACCCCATACACAACACACACGATTTTATGTATCTATGCAAAAATCTAAGAAACGAGGAAAATACACAATTTTAGTCTTTTCTGACATTGGCTTACCTCACTAAATATGATTATTTCCAGTTACATCCATTTTTCTAAAAGTGACGTGACTTCATCCTTTATTGCTAAAAAATAAAATAACTCCATTTTGTATATATGCTACATTTTCAACACCCAAGTTGGCTTCAGAACACATGGACGGTGCTTGCTGCATGGATGCACATAATCTCTGTTGACACTGACTTGGAGTCCTTTGGTTACACACCTGAGTCTCATGGAAAATCTACTGGTGGAGGATGGGAATTTCTTTTGGGGTTTTGGTTTTTTTGGGTTTTGTTTGTTTGTTTGTTTGTTTGTTTGTTTTTCAAGACAGGGTTTCTCTGTGTATCAACCCTGGCTGCCCTGGAACTCGCTCTGAGGACCAGACTGCCCTCCAACTCAGAGATCCTTCTGCCTCTGCCTTCCAAGTGCTGGGATTACAGGTGTGCACCACCATGGCCTGCCTGGCAGATGTGAATTTCTTAAGACTGATTTTTTTCAGTGCTGATGAAGAATGGCATTGTAATTTTCATTGTGTGGTGACTGCACCACGACTAAGTCTAATGGAACCTCCACTTGTGGTGCCTTCACCACCACTAAGTCCAAGTATCTGGCAAAAGCCTGGAGATTTAGTTAAAAGCAGAGACAACCGGTCATTTGCTAAGAGAATGTGTGTGTGTATGTGTGTCTGTGTTTTTTGCAGGGAGGGAGCAGCCTTATATACTGACTTAAGGCACAGTGGAAAAACCCCAGGTATAAGAGTTCGTGTTTGTGATGCCAGCAGGGCAAGGCCTGGGCTGTAATCCAGGACTAGAAAACAGGATGCACCTGTGGGGGCTAGGGCCCAACATCCCTCCCAACATCATTGGTGTTGCATTGAAGGTGCTTTTGGTAGTATAGCCAATATTAATTTGCTCTAATTCATGAGCACAGTGTTTTCATTAATTTCTTTATTCAGTGTTTTAGCTTCTTTGGTTATTTATATTCAAGGTGGATGTTTTGTTTTGTGAATGAGATTGCTACCCTGAATTCTTTCTCACTGTGCTTCCCTTTGGTATATGGGAAGCCTGTTGGTTTTATTTCCTTTCTTGTCTTAAAGCACTTACTGAATAAGAATGGAGAAAACTCATACCCTTGTTTCTCATTTTAGTAAAAGTGCATTGAGTTCCCGCCATTTAGTGGAATGGTGGCTATAGGTTTGTTGTATAAAAGCTAATTGCCCTAGTCTCTTCAGGACATTCGTCATGAAGGGATGTTGGATTTTATCAAAAGCCTGTTCTGTATTTATTGAGATGATCCTTGAGTACATTTATGTGATGTATTACATTTGTTGATTTGAATATGTTGGATTGTTCCCACATCTTTAGAATGAAGCCAACATGATCGTGATGAGTGATCTTTTTGATTTGTTTTTGAATTCAGTTTCAAGTATTGAGAATTTTTGCCTTTATCTTCATCAGGGAGATCAGTCTCTAATTTTCTTTGTGTGTTACTAATCTTACCAGTTGAGAATAAAACCATTACCACAATTTCAAGTCAAATTTGAAGCTTTAATTACTAGCCAGGTGGATGGGTTCTGGCCAGGTCCATCTCTGGATTTCCAGAAAATAACCCCTACCTAGTTACAGTTTGTAGGGATTTAAAAGGCAAACCCCACATTTCCCATCAGGTCCAATCAGGGGCAAGCGTACATCCTAACGTATTTCCTGCCCTGTACCTCCATCCACATGGGATCAAGCACATCTGGTGAACATGGGTCAAACAAACTTGTTTAGGGGAGTGAAAACATGTGGTTTGTCATTTCCCATAAACAGTAGCTTCCAACATTTCAGGAACCATCTGTCCTTGGTCAAGGGGCTTACAGGTCAGAGGCATTTTTGTTTCTTGACTCTCAGAGTCTGTGTGTCCTGGTTTTGGCATTAGGGCAATACTATCTTTACAGAAAGCTCTGTAGCATTGCTTCCTTTTCTGTTGCATGGAGCATTTTGAGAAGTACTGGTGTTGTGTCTTCTTTAAAGGTTTGATAGCATTGGGCTGTGGATCTATCCGATTCTGGTTGGGAGATTTTTTTTTTAACTAGTTCAGCCTCATTGTTTATTTCAGATCTGTTTAAATTCTTTCCCACTCTTGACTTAACTTCGATAGGTCAGTATCCGTCTAGAAGTTCATCCATTTCTTCCAGGTTTTCCAACTTCACGGAATATTATTTCTAACTAACATGTTTATGGTTTTCTGAATTTCATTGGTATCTATTGTAATGTCTCCCTTTTTGTCTCTAATTTTATAAATTTGACTTTTCCCTATTTGAGTTAATTTGGATAAGGGTTCTTTGATCTTGTTTATCTTTTCTACA